TGATGGGCTTTTGTATAAAATATAGTCTATCCGAGATTGAGAGAGCGTGATTAATGGATTTTATTTGGTACAAGGTTTTACATGAAATAAATTTTGATTATAAAGAAAATGAAAATGAACTCATTCAAAGCTTATTATTGATAAACTTTATACAATTGTGAATTCAAAAAATTAGATGAATCGTCCACCAACAAACAAAACAAAAATATCAAATGAAAATAATCACCATCTGAAAAAGGATTCATATTTTACCCAAGTGGTTGTATGATATGTATGGTCAAACTCGAATGTAAATATTTTAATATTTGTTGTGAGGACACATCTTGTCTAAATAAGTGGCGGATGACATTGTTTGCAATTGTTAATCTGAAAGCATGGACTAGTTCATTTATTACGATCAGAAAAATTAAAATTAAAGAAAAGGGAACACGAAATTGATCATGAATTAAAAACTCAATCAACAGATGAGAAATTCTTTATTTCAGAAAAAAATATAAATAATAAATGTTTTTATTCATGAACAAGTGGAAATGTAAAATTAATTATGACATACTATCTTTTACAATTTCGTGACCTTAAATCAGTAAATAAAATAAAATATATTTGATGAAGAAATTTCTAATTTCTGGTTGTTAGGGCTTGATGATTGCACTATAAAGAATTGATATATCATTTGAGATTGAAGTAGAAGAGGAGGGAGGATCAGAGAACAAGAAAGTTGACGTAGGTAGATGTGGATGTGGAATTATTAAAATCGGGAGGAATATTAGAAGATGAAGATTGAGCATCACACCCACCTTCTTCACCCGGTATGTGCACGACACAACAATTGAACTAGTGCTTCATGGTTAAATCATCATGTTTAAAGAAGTAAGATCCATCAGAATTGTCTGTGTTGTATAACATTAGGTTCCTCTTCCTGAATAATCAGTCACGTTCCCTCCATTATTCTCCTAATTTTGGAAATGCTATATGTTTTTTAATTCAATGAGGAAGTTCTATTATGCGCGAAGGCGATCGTGATATATTCAGATAATCTTTTGAGAAAGAACCAAAACAACAACAATAGTAATAAAACCAAACTAATCGATTTTGGTACGGCAAAAATGTTATTTATTATTAATTGCGAATAGTTTATTAAAATTAGGCAAGTCAAAAGTTGTTATATGGAAATAAGGCGTATTAATAAGAAAAAAATTATTATTTATGCAGCAATTTTTTATTTTTCTATATATAATTTTAATAAAGAAAATAAATCATTAAATAAATAAATAAATAAATGTAAATTTTGAGAGAAAAGTTTGTACATGAATTTGAAAGATGAAAATTTTGTGTATATATGAGGATGATGATATGTTATTATTAGTTATTGATTGATTGTCCTTTTTGTAAAAATCTAATTTTTAATTTTTAATATTTTATATATTTTTTTAATGTTTATTTACAGTGTTTTCATTAGCGAGAGTTAAACATATAAAGATCTTGATATATTGTTAGTATTGGCATTGTTAAGATTATTGTTAATTGCAACAAGATTGTTGTTAATAATTTTTTTTGCTGATTTATTATAATAATAATGTTGGTGACGAGAAATAGGAGAACGATGATAAAATAGGAATTGTTGATGTTGTTGATTCAATAATTTCGAAGAAGCTGTTAATTTTGAGGCCTTCATTACATCATAATTGTAGCTTGACGGTGATTTCTTTGTTCTAACTGATTCCTCTAAGCGATCTTGCATTTTACATTCTTCTGAACAATAAATTGCGCCCTAAAATTTATATAAATAATATTAATATTAATATAATGTTTGTTTTATAGTAATTATTAATAAAGATTGATATTATTTTCCTCTTCTAAAAAATTATTACTTACGGAAGTATTGCAATGAGAATCACACATAATACACCAATCTGTGTCCATTTTATTTAATAAATGATAAATTTTATTATATATCAACTAAATTTAATTTACTCGAACCTCGGTTTTAGAATTAAGTAATTAAAGCTCGTTATATAAATTATAGATAAATTTTGTTTATTTTTTTTAATCCAAACTTTAAGTTGAAAAATAAAATAAAAAAAAGAAAAAAAACTCACGAAAACTACACGTATTTATATAACTAAAAAAATAAAATACAAATTACACAAAAATTTTTTTTTTTTAGTTTAAACGCCGAATTTGCTTTTTTTGTTTATTATAATAATATATATATATATATAAATCAAGTTTTTGAATTTAGGTATTTAGGTAATGTTTTCGGCCGCATGTCTAAAATTAAACAAAATTAGACCAATAAAAAAATTTAAATTGTCTCTAATTGGGATTTTAATTTTTTGGGCCTTTTTTTATTTTATTTATACCAAAATGAAAAACAATTGATATCAAAATTTCAGGGTTTAAATTTTAGTGACGAGCTATACAAAGAACCCTAATAATCTTTTAATCCCAATCACCTTGAGATACATCAAGACACCCGCCCAATTTACAATTCCCTCAAGGTGAGTTTTCTGTCGAATATTGGAAAAGAATAATAGGAATTAAAAAAACCGTTAAACATTACAATAATTCATTTTGACCAAGCATCACACGAAAGTTATGTATTCTTATCGTTCATTACTTTTTCACATGATGATCATAGTGTATCAAGTGTATTTGTTTGAAGGTGAGAATGAGTGATTGTATAGCGTAACGGTTTGAAAATTGTTGTTGGCGCCGGTGTTCCAGGCTTTGCATACGTAGTCTATGCATATTTCCAGGTTCACAATGAAATTTTTCTTATTGCTTCACCAATTCCATCAATTTAATTTTCGTCATCAATACAAAACATTGCTTATGTGTGCCATTGAGGTGATGTTATAAACTCATAAATCACAAGCATGTCTAAAAATGACTCTTCACCAGATATATCAGACTCTATACTAACATCTCTCTGCATCTTTATTTCTCATTATTGATGGACTAAAACTTTTGGAAATATATTTCACTTTTTAATTGATATAATAAGCATTTTCAAAGTGCTGTTGCACAACATTTGGGTTTATGGTAATTTTTATCACTTATTTGTAGCACTAGTTTTCCATTTTGAATAATCAATGACAATAAGCAGCCATGTTGTTATTTTAGGTTTGGGCAAAAGAATTCATTGGTAGAAAGTGTGGTTCAGATGAGTTAGAAGCCCGTAAAAATTTGTAAACAATATACTAATGGTAAGAATTGGGATTTTGATTTATTTATTTATTTATTTATTTATTTATTTATTTATTATTTATTTATTTATTTATTTATTTATTTATTTATATTATATATGTATGTATGCATACATATATATATTATTAATTTATTATCTTAGAAAAATAAATCTCTAAAAGTACTTGAAAGAGCAGTCATTAAACGTGATGGTTGCTTAACAACTCTAGACGCAGTTTCAAACAGCGAGGCTGTTGATAAAAAGATCAATAAAATAATGAGGGTTCTAGGTCCACTGTATAGATGAAGAATCAAGTCATAAGGAGTTAAAACGTTGATCATACAAACATTTGGCGATACAAAATCTGTGGATTTGGAAAAGTATTGATGAATAGTTTGGCGTCTTGTTCTATGACGCCAGAAAGCTCTGAATAAACATATTAAGCCATTGGTATCAGATATGGTTAGAATATATATTTTCTAATAAATAACCGTGCTGTTACCATCAAAAAAGGGAGTTGAATTGGTATTATTTAGATTAGAGACTTTAAAATGCTGCTTAACGAGCATTGTTTACAACAAAAGATATGGGGACTATTTGTACTAAGTCACTAAATTTTAGTCCCTGAAAATTTTTGAACATCAATGTATATTAGCAAGAATACTGATTATCCATTTTTAGAATAGTTTAAGTATAATTAAGTATAATAAAAAAAAATTTATTTATGCAAACCTGCAAATCATTTAATTGTTATTATGTTAATTAATTGGTTCAGCGTATTAATTATAATTTATTTAATACTTTATAGTTTATATTAATGTAAATAATATTAGGAAAGTTATTCTCTAAATTTTTTTTCCCGCCAAAATAAAAATTTCAAATTCGGATAAATGCAGTTAAAATAAAAATGTTTATGAAACCCATATGGTATAATAACTGAACACCAATTATTCATTAGGAGCTACAATTTGTTTGAGAATAGAACTATTTCAAATATATAAAAAAGAGAATTGTTTGTTTGCCTCTTTAAATTAGAAAAAAAAAAACGTCAAAATAAAGATGCGTATTATAATTATGTGTTATTGTTATGTGTTGTTTTAAATGAAGATGAAAAAAATAAAATAAATATAATTCAAATAATTCGTTCGTTTGTTTGTTCGTTTGTTCGTTTGTTCGTTTGTTCGTTTGTTCGTTCGTTTGTTTGTTCGTACATTCGTTAGTTAGTCAGTTTGTACGTTCGTTCACTCGATTCTTATTACGTTTTTAAAAATAAAAATTACACAACTTTATTTTTCCTCACAAATTAGTACATTTGTTTATCTCATGATCGATTTAAACACCAATTAAAAATTGCACACTGCTGTATTTAGCTGAGCATGAATTTTATTATTATAATAATAACAGATTTTGGTAATCAATATTGTTATTATAATGTTTAAATATTAATTAGTCCATCTCTAGAAAAAAAAATTAAATATTTTTATGCACTTTTTATAACAAAACGGGCGTGATTTTTAAAAAATAATTTAATAATTTTGTATCACTTCTTTTTTATTTTAAAATTTTAATTTTGTGTAATGAAAAGGAAAAACCTCCTCTTACATTGAACCTATTACTATAACCAAGTCTAAGCCTTACATAGACAGCTTACAATAAGGTGTGTCTCGTGTGTAAGTCCCAACATCGCGAGCAACTCTTGTTGTGCTTCCGTAACATACTTTAAAAAGTATATCTGTCATTGATGGAATTGCAAGTTGTACATCTAAAGGTCCCAGATTTTGTTAGATTCGTCCCACAGTATCCCCACATTTTACTAATATGTTCATATGACTATTTTGCACCAAGGATTCTCGCGGATTTATGAAATAAAAAACGGTAATTATAGTGTAATTAAGGTCAACATTTATTTGCCTTGAAGTTTTAGGTTGAATTTTTCTAAAATCATCATTATTGTATTGTTTAGCGTTTTAAACTACTCTACACATATCCATTTTGCAAATTTTCAATGACATTCGTATCGACGGAACTTATATCCTTTACACTTGTTTGCTTTACCATGAACAGGATTCTTTTCACTTTGGATTCTATCACCTTTATTCTCTTAACTACCAAAATTTAGAATCTTGGTGATTGGCCTTAATTTATGCATACATGAGCAGAATTCATCAAGACGATTCACGGCGAGACAACAGTCATATTGTATTTTTTTAGATATGTTCTCACTTGATTGAAGAATGAAAATTCACTTCTTTTATTTCCTCATACTGGTAAATGATTGAATGTTTGTAAATATGCATTTCTCAAAAATTTGGTTCATTTTAGTGCATGTTTAACCTAGGTCAAGTTGATTTTTTTACCTGTGCCAATCTCTTTATTGTAGTTTGTATAATTTTCACAAATCTTTTTTATTTATATTTTTTATATTAACTGTTATTAAGCATTTGTTGTATGTATAACATGCAGTTTAAAATCTGATTTTAAGAGCCTTCCCGGATAGAAGTTTTTTAGAAGAAGAAGCCGCATCTTCCTTCATATGCCGTCTGATAAAAGGCAGAAGATGATTTAAACCATTGATGTTGTTTTAATTAAATCAGTTGCAACCCATAATCCAAGAGCTAGTCTTTTTAAAGAACCATCCGATTGACTGGATACAGTGTTTATCAGTTTGCGAGTTCTGATCCCAGATCATCAATTTTCTGGTGTGATACTTATCCATCTGTGACATATTCCGGTATGGACCTGTGTCATAATCTTCGTCATTTATGACGCATATGATGAACAAGAAAGAGAGAAACGCCAACCAAAATAACAATTAATAATTATCAACAATATTTAAAAATAAAATTTTCCGAATCACGATAATTAAAAATAAATTTATTGATGAGTCATATCATCTTTATTTTTAATAGATGCTCCCGATAAAATTTTCTATGATCATCAATCATATTAATATACATGCATACACATGTAATTAATAGACAATATTAATATGGCGTCTTTTTAGAACTCCGAAAAAAAATTTTTTTTTTCCAACATGTTCCTTTCTATTGAAAAGACGCCATAAAAATGGGGCATGCTGCAACAAAGAATTTGTAGGTATCAAATTAGCCAAAATTGTTTAACAACACAATGTATTAATGGCTTTATAATAATGCTCTTCGTTTCTTGCTTCATAAAATTTAATTGTCAAATACCATTTATAGTAGCAATCAAGCCAAAAGTATAAACTTATCCCCTTCTTTCACTTTAATTGTACATATTTTATCTGGCCTGATTCAATTTGTTTTCTTCGACTTTATTTAGTTAGCATTTGTAATTTTTTTTTCTTAAATCTTTGAATAATTGATACTTAACTTTTTAAACTAATTCAAAATTTTACCTTTGCAAGGAAGGTTGCTGAAAATGATCAACTTCCATTTACCGCACTTTTTGTTGATTGTGGCCGAAATTTTATTTGTTTTAATCATTAGTTAATAAAAATGTTAGAGATGTGAAATTTTGCACATATAATTTGGTAACCTAAGTTGCAAAACAATGCTTTTTATCATGCAATTTTTTTTAAAGAGTGCACCAGATCGATATTACACTGGGTTCATGTATTACAGATTTTCATTTGTTGATTAATTGGTGGTCCGCCGATCAACGATAGAATTTCTTTTAATATTATTATTAAATTAAAAAAAACCTCCATTTTCAGATTTAATAATAATAAATTATTTTTTAATACACAGTGAATCTTGATTTAGCGGATCTCGAATTAGCAGATACTAATTAAAAATCTCAGTTTTACGGATAAAGTTCAAAGAACAGTTCCGTAATAAACCTTAATAAAGACCTTCTTGATATGGCGGATATCTCGGTTCAAACAGATTTTTTTAAACCAAGATTTACTGTGTAATGACAATTATACGACTTTGGATTTACATTATATTGCCAATTTGCATTTTAAAACAATTTTTCCAAAATAGTAAAAGTATATACTGTATATTGTAAAGGTTACATGAATAGAAGTTTGTGGATGAGGCATAATTAGGTTTAATATCATAATCAATGTCCAAAATATGTATGGCTGAGTTTGAATTAACTTTGAGCTGCACTCATTTATTAATCACAAGCTTTTATATTAATTGACTTGTTTTATAAATTTATTGCCTCTCTCTTGTACCTAGAAAGCTTTGATAAGTCTATAAGTACACATCTGCTCCGCGTTTTGATTGCAATTAAAATATTTATAAACTAAAATAAAAATATCAATGCAAATAAAAAATAGTACCTCTGTCATTAACACGTCTTCAGACCCAATCTCATACCAAACAACATCATTCACGTTTTGCCATTGAAAAATAGATGGTTTTTCAAAAATCAAATCACGTTAACAAAAAAAAATCTTTGTACAACACCAAGTGCCAATAATAATAAATATTTTGTTTTTTTTTTTTTTTCCCCTTAACAAGTCTTTTTTATAAAATTATAAAAATGCCAAATTCATAACGGCGTCTGTTTTCCTCCAGAATACGTTCCTCATAATATTAAGATGAAATATAATGGTATGGAAATATTATTGTTGTTGTTGTTGTTATAATTTTTAATTATATTTATAAATTTTTTATAATAATCATTATTGATTTCTTTTTTCAAAGGGCTTGAAATCAAACTCACTCCAGAAGCGAAGAAGTAGCTACATTTTATGCTGCATTATTATTTAACACAGACTATGTAAAGAACAATACTTTCAACAAAAACTTTTTTAAAGATTGGCAAGTTATCTTGGAAGAATCTGAAGAAAATCCACTAATTGAGAATTTTGAAAAATGTGATCTTACTTCTATATACAACTATTTACAAGAAGAAAAGGAACAAAGAATTTTTCAAAATAGGAAAAACAAAAGTTGAAAGATGAAAAGACCAGGGTTGATGAGTTTTATGGTTATTGTTACTTAGATGGACATAAAGAAAAAATTGGTAATTTTAGAATTGAGCCACTTGGTTTTGTTTAAAGGTCATTGTGATCATCCTAAAACTGGTTCATTGAAGTTGAGAGTCACCTCCAAGCAAATAACAATTAATATCAGTAAAGATGCATTTATCCCTCCTCCACCTGCGGCCACTCCTGGGGTGGTATTCTACGTTATAACACAGTTACCTGACTCACCACCTGGAAGGAGAATATAAATGACAGCATAAATATGCGTTTTTAGCAGCCAATAGCTCACTTAAAGGTCAAAGTGACTTGAAAAAAATTGATAAAGCTAGGGAGTTCGATAAACACATAGAAAAAATTTGGTGTGATTACATATTGGATTTAAAAGATAGACTCAGTTCAGTTTGTCAACATACTATGGCTATGTATCTTATTGACAGGCTTTCCCTAAGAGCAGGAAATGAAAAAACTGAAGAAGCAGATACTATAGGTTTTTGTTCCCTCAGATGTGAGCATATTACTTTGGTACCGCCAATGACAGTCAAGTTCAATTTTCTAGTTAAAGATTCAATAAGATACATAAATTCGGTGGAAGTAATAGAACAAGTCTTCAAAAATCTTAAAATATTTCTGAAGGATAAGGGATTCACTGAACGTTATTTGACAGATTAAAGGTACAAAAAAAAAATATATATTTTCAAATTTCATATATTGCATATATATATATATATATATATATATATATATATATATATATATATGCATGTGTGTGTTTTATTAATAAATTCAAATTTCTTTATAAAAATTATTTTAGACTCAAGATTTGAATATTCATTTACCTGAATACATGGAGGAACTAACTGCCAAAGTGTTCTGTACATACAACGCATCTTGTACCTTCCAAATTGAGCTAAAGAAAGAGATGGAGGATACTACTACCGTAATGGAAAAAAATGGTAGCATATAATAAAGCAAACAGACAGGTTGCTATTTTACGTAACCATCAACATTCTGTCAGCAAGGCTCATGATAATCAAATCAATAGAATTGATGATAGGGTAATTTTTTATCATGCAACTAATGATTATTGTTAATTCTCAAATAAATTTACATATATTCTTTAATATGTATGTGTAGGTTTGTGCTTTGAAATATCAAAGCAATAGATGTAAAATGTAATTGTTGACTCTTGAACCTAAATTAAAAAAGAAAGAGCCTCAACTATTTGAACCAGAATTAGACATGGAAGAGGAATGGACAATCAAGCACGAGAAACAATTGATGGAAAAAGAACATTTGGCAATTATGAATAAATTTAAAAGAGATAATGAAAAGCTTACAGAAGAAGGGAAACCACATAAACCTGAAGACCATCTTAAACAATTATTAAAGGACATCAATGAAAAAGAGAGAGAATTGAAGAATGAATGGAAATCTGGCAAAGTCAATCCCAAAAAAGGACAAACAAGTGAAAAATTCTGGATCCAAATAGAAAAATTGACAGAATGTATCAAAACCACCAAATTGTTGAAACAAAATAAAGAAGACAATAATAAGACAACTGCACTCGGTACATCAAAATTAATTATTTACACTCACATATTTCTGTAGCATGTACAAAAAGTATGAAGTAAAAATCTTAGAGATGCAATACATCTGTCGGATTTAAACAGATTATCCGGATTATCCATAATAATAAAATTGAACGGATCATCCGGATTGTATGGATTATCTGCGGTTTGAACGGGATAATTCAACAATATTAGTATTAGTATTAATAAAATGTTACAAAAAGAGTAGTAATGTTATATTTATTATAAGTTAATTCGGTGGGTGAATACATTTAACACAACTTGCATTTCTTTTTAAAAACAAAATTCGTTTAAACAATTACGAATTCATTTCCTTCACTTTTTCAAAATGCTTCCACACAAAACCATGTGTTACAATTCGTTTTTTAAAAGGTCTTCTGGAACCACCGCCTAAATCATTGGAACTTGAAGCCAATGGACTATTGGACCTTGTATTGGAAATGTTTATTCATTCGCATGTAAAATTATCATCAACAACACCACTACTATTGTCGTCATCATCATATTGATGGTATTGATACTCTTCCGCATAGAAGTTTTCCATTTTGAATGATAAAACACAAAAATCGTAATTGGTCAGACAATAATAATATTAGCATAGTATTGGTATTGGTATTAGTAGTATTAATAGTCGACTAAATAATCGATTAAAATAGTCAACTATTAGTTGTTCAAAAAAAAGTTTAATCGACTATTTTAGCCGATTCCAACCTCTATTTTTTCATATAAAACATACGGAATAGGTGTGGGATGTGACATACTGAAAGTGTACGTTTTTGTTTCTGCGTAAAACATACTATTGAAAAGGTACGTTTTTATTCCGTATTTAAAGTATAAATAAGAAATTTTTATTAATAGTCACAGGACATGTCACATCAATTGATTAATTAACACAAAAAAAAGATTTAACATTTGCCGTGTCACGATCTCCTTCCAAAACTCGCAAGTCGTGCAATTTTCTCGCCGATTGTCTCCTTTTGCGTCTAGCTGCGCCTGGTCTTTTCGGTTTTTGTCGTACGGCAAATGTTTTGTTTTATAAAACGGGTTGCAATTGCAATTGCATTGAAATTAAAATTGAGTTGCGTTGAATTGAATTGCAAAGCAATGCGTTGAAATTGCAATTGAAACCGAAAAATCTTTGTTTTTTTAAACCTAATTTTTTGTGAAGGAATTTTTTGCTTCTCTGGGTGGTAATAGAGTTCCGAACGGGTCGGGTCATGGATTTGATTTGATCCGCGGGTCATACGGGTCACACGGGTCACACGGGTTGACATGGGCCCAATATGCCGAATGACATGACCCTTGTTTTATGCCATATCATGTGCCATATGCAATACGTAACCCTTGTCTTATTATTAATTATTTTATTAATATTAATATTGATATGGCCAAAAAACACTAGCTGATAAATACA